TCTTTCCACTTCTCTGCCAGCTCTCCCCATTAACCTGCTCCAGACTTCTGACAGAAATTTTCAAAGCATGTCGTACGAGTGCGGTGACAGCTCCTCGTGCAAGTAATAGTTTTAGAAAAGTTCAGACTTTAAAACTCAAAGTGAGGGGAGGGATAATATTAGTCTTGGAAAAAATCTTTTACATTACGAGTTCTCACAGTCAGCCTGTTGTTCTGCTGATGCTTCAACATGCCCTTGATTATAATAACAATACTATTATACATTAATATTGTACATTTCTACCCCTCAGCTGCAAAATGATTCATCAGTACAATCAGTCGGCTGCTTCTTCAAAAACACTTCATGAACTCGACTGCTTGATGCGATAACATTTAATTAAGTATTCCACTTTAGCCTAACAAAGCACACAAGCCTCTTCTGATATTTAGCCTGTTAAAAATTAAAGGCATGTTTTGTATGGAAGTCAATTTCTGCCAAATGAATAACAAAAGAGGTAACTTTAAGCTTAAAGTTTAAGTTTTGCATGACTTTTAAACCCAGACTCTACGTTATTTATTTATTAATAAATATTTTTTATTATTATTATTTTATTATTATTTATAAATTTTAAATGATGTAACTCATATAATCAGGAACATTTAAAGCTCCCAATGATATGAAAAAACAAAATAAAAACCCCAAACAAAACAAATTTCCAACATATTTCTCAAGAAATACCTCTGAAAGACCACAGCTTGGCCTCTACCAGCTCCTAGTTTACTACTTACAGTCCTACTTACAAGGCTATGGACTGATATTAAAGTAAAGGACAAACCAACATAAAGTGCTTTAGTAAGGTGCTGCAGATCAAATGCTTGCAGAACAGCATCAATGCACATTGGCAATTATTATGCAAGTTTTGGGAACTCTACTACTGGAGTGCCAACCCAATATCTCTCACAGGTATTCATTTAGATTGGGATCTTGTCACATCCTCTTTAAACTGTCCATTGAATCCTCGTGCTCTAAAGATGGGTGGCTTTGTAAGTTTGTAAGTGATGACTCAAATTGGGATAAAAATATATCATCATGGGACAAAAGCAATGACTCAACACTACTTTATGACCTTTTCCTTTAACACGTACTCACCACCAACGCATGGAGAGTCAGTTCACTAGCGATGCCTTTGAAGGATGATCAAATATCATTACAGACTGCATCTAAAGAGTGCTCCTCAATTTCTTATGGTAGCCAGTTCCATAGAAACCAATGCTAGTGGTTCTAACTTTGGGGTGAGCATTGCTGTGATGGAGATCCAAGTGTGGCTCTAGGTCCGATAATATTCAGCTTTTTCGTTCAGTGGAAATGTATTGTATGTTGGAGGTTATAAGTGGACCCATCCAAAACAAAATCCACTACAAGATTAAGTTGTTTCCATGAGTACTTGAGCACTAATTAGCAAAACTGAAAGTACGTGCGATGCCTGGTTAGCCAGCCTGATTCTATAGTTTTCCAGGTAGATAAACAATAAATGTGTAGCTGTCGTCTTTTGTTTAGCAGTTAAGTAGCCAAATCTAGAAAATAAATCTTGCAGCTGTCATAGTAAAATCCAACCTAATGTAGC